CTGCAGGCCTATCATGACTCAGAATTGACTGGATAACAGCTAGTTTGGTTTTTGGTTTGGAAGAATGAGTTCCATAGTACTCATGTATGAGATGATAATAGTTCAGATCAAAGTATGGGTGGTAGAGATGAAGATTTGCAAGATATTTAAGACGTAAAAATGGCAAAACTGGTGACCAATTGGGATTTAGGGGGAAAAAAAGGGGGAAATCAATCATCTGGCTTGAGCATCTGGGCAGGTGGTAGGCAGGGTTATTAGTGAGGCTTTGTTTTCAACAGCAGTCTTTCTTGTCTGTGACAAAAAAGTTGAATTGCAATGAATAAGAAAACCAGCTTCGAATAAGATGGATTTACACAATAGCCACACGATGGACTTGCCATACTAACAACAATTAAGATTATTGGACTAGGCTGTGCTTTGTTTTGTGATATTTAAGATGGAAGGTGATTTAACAACAACAATGTACAAAAAAACAACCCCCTCATAGAGCTGTTTATCATAACAAGAAAAACGTAAAAGAGACAAGAACACGATAGTTTTATAGCTGAATTGAGTTGCTTTATCTTAAATTTCAGTTGGCATAATTTTTTTTTTAACATTTTATTAGGGGCTCATACAACTGTTATCCCAATCCATACACACATCAATCGTGTAAAGCCCAAAGTTTCCCCTCTGACAACTTAAGCCACTGGAATGCCTGTATGCTAATTACCAGATGTCCATCCCTTACAGGTGGGTGTACCTGAGCTCTCTGCCCTTCCTTTTCTCCAACCTACACATTCTTCTGATCTAGTTCCCTGGCTTTAATCACCATGCATCAAAAAGCTACCTCAAATGCAAATAATACTCTCTCCGTCTTCTCTTCCCAACCTGTTCATCCTTTGTGTTCTGTTTCAGGAAGGATTACTGCCCAACTAGTTGCCGGAGGCAAAAAATGACAACAATTTCATTACTGTCTTCTCCCCACTCAACATTATACTCATTCTACTTTCCCACTTTTCTTAACTATACCATCTAGCCTCCTGATTTGTTCTCTCCCCATTTCCCCTATAGCCAGCGCAAATCTGATCAATGTCAACATGTACTGCTGCCAGGTTAAAGTACAAATTTATTACCATGAGATTTTTCATGAGGTTATCCTTTGCTTACTTTTTTTCTAGCTGAGTCTGTAGCTATGTTTCAACCTCATACTTTTGAGCAAGTACTCCTGTTAGTGCTCATAGCACTCTCCATTACTCTACCACAGTACAATAGGGATTTAAATAGTTCTTGGCAAACTTCTTTTGCCCTTTAATTCCATTTTCCCAAGAACTTTTTGAATCTCCAAAGTCTATTTAATACTAGAAACTCCAATCTTTAAACACTGGTGTCAGAAACAAAAGTTGCTTCATGAATTCGACTTGAAACTGGGTCAAGAGTTGTAGAATACCACAGAAATAAAAAATGCAAGCTAAGTCATCAAGAACATAATTTTGGGAAACAGCCCGTGTTCCGGTAATGCATTCAGACCAATTACTTTTGAGTTCACTCCGACTCATGGCGACCCTATGTTTCAGAGAACTGCTTCAGAGGGTTTTTCAGTGGTGAGTTGTTCTTAGTGTCCCTGGCTGAACTCGAACGTTCAAAATTTCATTCACGTCAACCGTTAGCATCACCTCTTTATTTAGGGGCCTTCATGGCGCATGCTACCTTTAGTGTATAAGGCTTCCGCTTCCTCCCACCACCACCACCCACCCACATCCACACACACTGCAAAGTCTTCCGCTTCC